AAAAAAAAAAAAAAAAAAAAAAAAAGAATAAACACTATTACAAAAATCTGAGGGAAGAATCATCTAACAATCCACGGTCCTAACACAATTGTCAGCAATTTTGTATATTCCTTCCAAGGTTTTTCTTTCCTAGAAGAAACCTCTTTAAAGTTTAAATTGTAGTGGATATGATTTTGTAATTATACCCTTTTCAATTTTCTATTTAACTTCATATTAACTAGAAGACAGTTAAGGGTGATTGTTAACAACCCGGGATCTGGGGTCAACTAGGAGCTTCCTCAAGGACTTCTGAGGAAGTGGCCATGGGAAGTCCAGCCTGCAGAGATCGACACAGGGCAGTGAGCACCGCTGGGGCTTGGACCCTCCTTTGTCCCCCAAAGGCCGAAGGCTGCGCTGCACAGCTGTGGAGCCTCGGGGAGGCGGGGCTTGGTAGAAGGAGCTAGGTCATTTCCGTGTTTCCTTGAGGGAGCATGGAACAACTGCCCCTCCCTCTCTCTGTGCTTCCTGGCAGTTCTGCCCCTCTGCGCCCTCCCTCAAGTGACCTCCTGCTCACCACAGGCCCAGAGAAAGGAGGGTGAACAACCCTCTGAAAGTGTGATCCAAAATAAAAAAGGAATCTTTCCTCCTTGTGAATTGTTTTATCTTAGATATTTTGTCCCAGTGACAGACTAACACAGGCATGAAGAAAGAATCTTTTAAAAGAGCTTTAACATCGCTGTTTCATGGAGTTATTGTGAGGCAGAGATGAAGTAATATGTGTAACAGATGTAATGTCTGGCCTGTGGCACAATAAACACTCAATATGTGGTAGCTATCCTGCCCTTCACACATTATTACATAGACTTTAAAGTGGCATTTTAATGTCAATATAGAACACATCACAGAAATGGTCTATACTATTAACTCGAGCCTTTTAAAGATAATTTTCAACACTGTAAGCAATGAAAGATGATTTTTCTCATATTTTAGATTGCCTCTAAAGACAAGAGATGACTTATTAGAATTATTATGTGGGTGAACAATTTTATGGCTCCTGGTACATTTTTGCCAATTGTTTTTTTGGTACTGGGGATTGAACTCAGGTCCATGTGCTTGTGGGGCAGGCGGAGGAACCACGGAGCTAAATCCCTGGCCCCTGCCATATTGCTTTCCTAATATGCTTCAAATTACAACATAATAATTAATATTTGAAAACAGTAGTTATACTGCGTCACTGCCACGGTTGAATACTAAGGTTAGTGTGTGTGTGTGTGTGTGTGTATACAGATGCACGTGTGAAGATGTATGTATTTGTACGTGATCACTAATTTGATGGGAAGCTAATGACATGCAAACATATTTTTGCTAACTTATAGTGAAGATTCTGATAGGTTGGTGTGTTGATTAGGAAGCTGTCCTGAGAGACTGTCTGCATGATCGGAGCAGATTGACTGCCTAACTGTGTGCACACACACACACAAGTTCTAGAAATTTACCTCTCATCAAATATTCAGGATAGATGCCCAACTATATCCCCTTATTTTTCTTGATCCAGGAACTTAGTGGGAATGAACTAGAGTTGGACTCTGTTAATCACAGCTTTTGTCACTATGACAAAATACCCCATAAAATTAAATTAAAGGAGAAAAGGTTTATTTTGGCTGATGGCTTCAGTCTAAGGTTGCTTGGTTCTGTTATTTTATGACTGAGATAAGGCCAAGAATATGGCAGAGAGTGTACAGTAGAGGAAAACTTCTCACCTCATGGTAGCCAGGAGAGATGGAGGGAGGGAGGAATGGAGGGAAAGAAATGCTAGTGAGAGGTAGTGTTTTCCTATGGTTTTTGAAAGAGGAAATGGCACTAGTGGAGTAGGAGGAAGAGAGCTTTATTGTGTAGGGCACATCTCTGATTGGGCAACCTTTCTCTGTCAGAGCTGGTAGAGACAAGCAAATGTCTCTCACCAGCTGGAAACCAAAGAAGGCCTGGAGTGGGTGGGATGGGCAGTGGTGTGTGGGTAGCAGAGCAGTAGCCATCAGCAGACCAGAAATGGCTGAAAACTCAAATACTGAGGTGGGGACAGCCATGCTTTAGGTATCACCACTTATATGATTATGGGAGGCAGTGGACTTGCCTGGTGCTGCCTGCTTTCCTCTTTCTGAATTGCTGCTTTCTATCTACTATGGGCTTGGAAATCAGGCACGCAGTGTTATTGGAACTGTTTATAACAAAATAGTCTGAGGGAAGCACATCTGAGAAGATGGCAAAATAGGATGCATTAGGAATCCAACTCCACACCTAGACAGTTGCCCTGGGAGAACCTGTCTGATAGAACTGCTTTGGAGCTCTGGGGTCTGCTGAAGACTTGCAGCTTCTAGGAGGTGGCTTAGACAGAAAGCGCAGTTGATTTCAGTAGATTGGAGCTATTAATACAATAGCATTTCCCATACCCCTGCTCAGCCCTATAGCAGGCAGCTGCATTTATTCCTGAAGTGGCTCACACACATCTTGAAAGCGCCAGGGGTGGCCAAGAAACCCCTGTCTTTCAAACATTGGGACCTAACTGCTGATTTCTGCTTCTGATCACAAGGGTGCATATAGAAGCTGGCAGTTTTGTTGTTCCTCTTTGTACTGTTATGAAATCCTCTGGCCCCCAGCTGAAAGCACTTCTGGGGCATTTGCCAGGCCAAAACCCTTCTTCTGTTTTCATTTTTCTCCTCTTCCTCTTCTGAGATCGGGCATTAAAGATGAGAATATCCAAAAGCAACTGCATATAAAGAGGAAATTGTAAAGTGACAGTGCATGCTGAGGGAAAGCAGCAGTTTCAGGAAAAACCTAGAAACTATATATTTACACCTCAGGCTGATCTTGAACACAGTCTACTGAACTAACAAACCAATCATCCAAGCAACCAATCAAACAGAAACAATTGTAAACCCCAGAGAAGGAGAGAATCTGATTGCCAGACTTAAATTAGATTCAAAAGCCAGTTTTCAACAACAACAAAAATCACAAACCTTACAAAGAGAGGAAAGTAAGTCCCACTCAAAAGAAAACAACAACAACAACAACAACAACAAAACAGAAACCATCCCTGAAAACAGCTAGTGGTGGATTGACCAAAGACTTTACAATGACTGCTTTACACATATTCAAATAATTAAGGAAAACGTGGAAAGTAAAAAAACAAAAAAACAAAAAAACAAAAAACAATATATGAACACAATGGGAATATTAATAGATACTAAATGTAAAAAGAAACAAAAAGAAACTCTGGAAAAGAAAAGTATAACTGGAAAGAAAAATTCACTTAAAGGATTCAGAAGTGGATTTGAGCAGACAGAATAATGAGTGAACATGAAAGTCTCGAATTTTGGGAGCAGAAAGAAGACACTGAAGAGTCTGGGAAGAAGCGGAATGGGGAGCATTAGAGAAACACCCTCTCTGATGTTTGGAATTCAGATGCTGGAATATAACAATGTGAGGAAGAGAATGAGGAAGAAAGTGGGTCCCCGGGATCCAGCAAGGATCTGAAGCAAGAGTCAGAGCCTACAGGGAGAGTGAAGGGAGAACCACAGTGCAAAAGAAGGAGGTGACAAGTGGCCTTTTCTCCTGAGCCCTGGCTCACAGTGTGGGAGGGGCAGCTCAAACCTGTAGAGGTGCAATGACTACTGGCAACCCCAGAAGCCTCCAAGACAAACACAGCAGTGCAATGGAGCAGTGGACCCTACAGACTGCAATGGCTGGTGAGTTATTCGGGTTCAGAGCCCCTCTGGGAGAGGTCGAATGACTGGTAGCCATTTTGGAAAGGGACAGTGGAAGTCAGAACTCAAAGCAGCTGTGGGTTGGCTTCATCTAGCAGCTCCAAGTGTCAGTTTGAGATGTAACCAAGTTTAAACTGGCAGGAGGTCAGGGAGCTGAATTGAAGTCAACAGGGAACTGAGTTCAAACCCACAGGAAACAGAGTGTTTCAGGATGAAAAACGTGGACCCCAACCTCACAGCCAGAAACCAGAACCAGCCTGAACTTTAGTTGACCTAAAGGCCCAGGTTTGCTGGGATTATCGGCTGCCACCATAATTCTACTGTGGGCTTGCTGGGATCAGTCAACACAGATCTGGGCTCTGTCTAACCCCTCTATGAACCAGTGACAGCAGAGGCACACCCTGAAGAGGTCATTTTTCTTTCTGATTTTCTTTGTTTTTAATTTTTTTCTCTATTTCTTCATTGTTTGTTCTTGTTTTTAAACTAGTAAGAACATTGTCTCTAGTTTTTCATTGTTGTTGTTTTGTTTTCTTCTTGTTTTTGTTTCTTCCTTCTTTCTTTGTGTCTCGTCTTCACCAGTTTCCAAAGCTTGCATAATCTTCCTTTGTCCTTAGGCTTTGCTTCTAATCCCTTTCTCTTCTATTTCTCTATTTTTTTCCCCAACTCCTTTTAAATTTTCTTGCCTGAAGGTAAAATCACCATATTGAGGGGATATTTACTATACAAAATTTTCTGGTTTGTTTTAGATTTGGATATATAACCACAAATCCTGTTCATGTGGTTAAAGGTGGCAAATTAATAGCTACAACAGTTTGTCATTTTCTAGGGTATGTTTCATGGTACTGTTATTATTGATTGTACTACTTTAGCTACAGTGACATAATTGTTCTAATTAATTGTTCTTCCTTGTAAGACAAAACTGACATTGCCTGAGGGTTATAAGCAATACTGT